CTTGGCCTTTTGCAAAAGCGTTTAGGAAAAGTTGTCAAGTGGTGGGGCATTTCGCAAAGTTGGATGGTACCCGGTAGGGGTATATTGCAAAGATGGGGGTCCAACTGACACCAGGGGTATTTATGAAGGTAGAAATCTATACGAGGAATTGAGGATAAAATAGAAATGAATAATGTTAAGTCTTTAATGGTGAATCTAAGCGGATAAAATTTTAATAAGTTATGGTAAATCTAAGCGGATAATTAAGGATCAATTTTATATCTAAAAGGATAATAATTTATGGTAAATCCGAGAGGAAATAAATCAGAATTATCGCGCGTCATTCACGTGGATATCACATTAAAAAAAAAAGAAAAAAACGAATTGGAATTTTGGTAGGATAAAGAAAATAAGAAAGGATAAGATCAAAAGTAAGAAGCTGGAGACGCTTCCGATAGGCCTCGCTCCACTACACAACACTGTACATGCATGCGAACGCTTTCTGGACCAGGTGCGTTCGGACAAGTCCATCCACTACTTAGCACTGTACATGCATGTGAACGCTTTCTGGACCAGGTGCGTTCGTATGAAGTCCAACATGGTGAACATTATCAGGTCAATAAAGCGTCCAAGTACACGTAGAGTGTTGTGTAATGAAGCAAGGCCCAATATTTCGACTTCTCCTTTTCTTTGGCCTTTAGCCTTCCCCTCCCCCCCCCCTCCCCCCCCCTCCTATTTTTTTGTCTTAAGCATCTTAACAAAACGATTTATATTTCATTTATATTTCAAATAACAAATGCAATTAAGGCTGGGGACCTCACAATTCCACCCTGGGGGAAAAGGGGAAAAAAATACATTCCACCCTGAGAGCACTGGGGCTATTTGAAAAAAAAAACAAAAACTCATAGCTTCGGCTAATGTTGGAAACTGGTCCAGCAGCGTCCCTGTTTTTCTTCTTTTTGTCGTCTTTTTTTATTTTTTATTTTATTTTTAAAGCGTCCCTTCTTAGTAAAGGTCAAGAAAATGATTATCGAAGGATAGATAGACAATCAACAACAACAACACCCCCCGCCTACCCCCCCCGCCAAAAAAAAAAGAAAAAAGAAAAAAAAAGACAAAAGAAATAAAAGAAAAAAAGGAAAAGGAAAAGAAGAAAAAAGAAAAAAAAAGGAGTTCCCTGAATTGCCTAGCAATCTGTAACAGCTGTACCCAAAAACAAAAACAAAAAAAAAAAAACAAATCATACACTCGGCCTCGCTCCACTACTCTCTACATGCACAAAAGACAAAAAAAGTATGGCGGTGTATCTTTCCATGTTCTACGGGAAGATTCATTCTCAATTTGCACATTCGGAGAGTAGTGGAGCGAGGCCCATTATCACGACGCCTGTAGTTGGTCCAGACAACGCTACCTGGTGATGAGACTTCACCTAAAAAAAAAAAAAAAAAAAGTTTGGTCACACTGCAAGGCAGAGTCGTAATAAGTATCGGCTTGCAGTGACCGACCTACCCGTCTTCCCCCGAATAGAACGCCCGGTCATTATAGAGCTGTGTATTTGGGGCAACTTTCAGTCTGGATACGGCCATAATGACGGGGCGTTGTATTCGGGTGAAGAAGGGTAGTTCTTATGGAAGGGGGCGTTCTATTCGGGAAAGGGGAAGGCTTTTGAAAAAGCCAGAGTAGATCTGTAGATCCTCTTAAGGGCATATTCATTCACACTAGGGCTTTTTTACTTTTTGGGGTGGACGTAATTGCGGTCATATGCATCCATGTCCGGCGGGCATAAATGTGGTCAGGTACATTTAAGATAGAGGTAGTGTGAGTACGCCGGAAAAGAGGCGAGAGTGGAAGGAAAGGTTGATGGCAAAGAGGATTGGACGAAAGGGCTGAATGTGGACGTGTTTGTGTAGAGGTACAGAAAATCGGCATTGATCTGCTTTTCTGCATCTCTGCTAAAAACCCATCCAGATTGCAGGCGCTTGGATGAATCAGAACTACCCACTAGGGAATATGATTGGATGGAAGGGCTGAATGTGGACGTGTTTGTGGAGAGGTGCAGAAAATCTTGATTAATCCGCTTTTTTTTCCTGCATCTCTGCTTAAAACCGTCCCCTTGGATGAAGTAGAACTACCCACTAGCAAAGAGGATTGGATGAAAGGGCTGAATCTGGACGTGGTTGTGGAGAGGTGCAGAAAATCGCGATTGATCTGCTTTTCTGGATATCTGCTTGAAACCCATCCCGATTCAGGCGCTTGGATGAATCAGAACTACCTACTAGCAAAGGGGCGATTGGATGGAAGGGCTGAATCTGGACGTGTTTGTGGAGAGGTGCAGCAATTCGCAATCAATCTGCTTTTCTGCATCTCCGCTTAAAACCCATCCACATTCAAGCGCTTCATCCAATCCTCTTTTCGCTAGTGGGAACCACGGTAAGCTTGTGTGAGATGGAGAGTTTTTTGTTTTTTTATCTGATTTTTATTTCCTCTTCAATTCAACCTGCGTTGTTTTTTCTCATCGAATCTTTAATCTGTTTTCTTTTTCTTTCTTCTTGTTGGATGTAGTTGGGGCCTTCTCCCCCCCCTCCTCTCCGCCCCTGGGTTTTGGCTACCTTCCTGTAATTGAGTCATTTCCTAGGTTGTTGGATCGGACGTCCGGGACCCCCCTGACCGGCCGGACGTCTGGTCGAACGTCGGACCGGACAGGGTATGTCCCATCTAGCGCAAAATAATAATAATAATAATAATAATAATAATAATAATAATAATAATAATAATAATAATGTGGCTTCCACCTTGCATTAGGTGTATGCCACCAAATTTTTGGATCATTTGGGCCAGTAGAATAAATAATAAAAATCTTCAAAGATTCTAATCCCCACCTATACCCCTCCTATCCCCACCAAAACCCATCGTACACCCCCCCCCAACCCCACCAAATGCTCAGAAAAAACTGAAACTTTTTGTGGGGGGTCTCTAGGGCATGCGCAACACTGTGTGATTTTTTTTTTCTTTTTAGTGGCAAAAAGCCGTCGTCCGGAAATCCGGATGACGGGGCTACCTGACGTCCGGGGAGCCGTCCGGGGGAGCCGTCCGGTCTCCGGACCATTGGTAACCTAGGTCATTTCACTTTTTTTTTCAGGGATATTAAAAAATAAAAGTAAAAAATGATAAACGGAGACGCTTCCTACCGCATGCTGGTTCTCCTCTCGTCACCATCTCTGCCTTTTTTTTTTGTTCCTCTTTTTTTTTTTGTTCCTTTTTTTTTTTTTTTTCTTTTTTTTTTTTTTTTTTTTTTTTTTTTTTTTTTTTTTTTTTTTTTTTTTTTTTTTTTTTTTTTTTTTTCCATTTTCAGAAAAGCGAGACTTCCGGCTAGCGCCTCGGCGGGAGGCTCGGACTCTATAGCTAGGAAAGGTACTGGTGTTCTAATGTCCCTTCCCACTGGCCGACGGCTGGAAACTGGTGTTGGCTACAAAAAACGGCCGACCGTGGTTGGAAAAAACTTGACGCATTTTGAAGGGACCCCACCGCAGACCGATAGTTTCGGCACTGGAAAACTTGAAAGCATGGCATACCCGAAGAGGAAACCGTCGAAGGGTGTTTCCTGAAAAGGCAAGTCGGGCGGGTGTTGTGGACCATGGCTTGGTACCGCATTGCTCCAGGACAAGTCCGTGTTTGGTCGAGCGCGACCCGGTGTGGCGGGTTCTGCACAAGTGCAGTGCGTTGCTGTGTGGCCCGAGCGGGTCATACGTGGTTAACCAGGGGTGTTATTTCCGACGAATTTTGCACCGAATTGCACTGAAATTGTCATATTGTGCTGATTTTTTGCTTTTTTTCTTGTTTTTCTTTTTTTTGTGGTATATATGTGCTTTAGGGTACATCATGTGTCCCCGTTACCCGTCTTTCGAGCGGGTCCGCTAAGGCAAGAGAAATTATCGTTGGGGGCGTGGGTGGATGTCCCTCCCTGACGTTGGTGGGAGGTGCCGTCCGAACCATTGGTAGTCGGAGTGCACTGAGCACAGGAGCACTGACGGGGAGCCATCGCTGGGGACAAAGGAGGACGGTTTGGTGAGTCGCATGGGTTCGTGAAGGTTTTGTGGTCGACAGGGCCAGGACAGGCGGTATACAGGGGTTGACGACGTTGTCGTCACGGTAACGAAATCTCCATGGATCCATTGAATTTCAAACGGTGCACCATGACGTTCGTGAATTCGGGGGACCATGGACTTCACAGACCGGCAGGCCCTTGGGAATACCGTGCGACACCACGGGAAAATACGAATGTCCGCCATGGCCTCCGGGTACACAGAACGGTCCACGGCGAGGGTGCATGGTCCACGCCGTGGAAACTGATGGGCATGCCCCCCCCTTGCTCAACTGGCCGCCTCCTTGGAAAGGGTCCGGAAACGGGTCGGCGTCGAATTTCCAGACCGCGGGCCATGTAGAAACGCCCCATCACCATTTCCGCAACCTCTTTCCAAGCGCAGTGGGGTCTGGAATTCCTTTCCGGGCCGGCTTTCCACACCGGTTTCCAGACCTAGTGGGGTCTGGAAAACACTCCGGCGCCCAAACTTTTCCAGGCCGCCGGCCAGTGGGGTCCACACCATAGCCTCTTCTCGCTGTCACCCAGAAGGTCAGGTTCGGTGCAGAGTCCGGTTGGGCAAAATAGCCCCCGGCGAACCCGATTTCTACTCACGCGGCCGTCACTCATCCGTCACTTCCGACCCAATTTGCTACCAGCCCGGGGCTACCGTCTTCCCCCGAACATAAGGCACCCTAAGGTTACGGTAGGTCCCACTTGCACGGGTGAAGAGATTCTGGCCGTTGATATTGCTATCTACGGTCAATATCGCTTAATTCGTGAAAGTGGGGCCTTGCCCCCGGACTTCTTTCCGAAAGACACTCGCGAAGCGTCTCTGGAAAGGCATAGAGAAATGTCCCCTGGAACGACAAGGAACGGCGGTCCCAATCATGGCATGAGTCCTTCGCCCCACGGGCATTTGGATCCATGAATTACAAACGAGGTGGTTTAGCCCCTGCCCAAGGTTGACATGTAGCCCGCTGAGCGGATTATCGAATACGGCGCAGCGACGGTGGGTTTTTCTCTCCGACTCTCAGCATTGTGTGTGGAAATGTGTGTGTGTGTGTGTGTGTGTGTGTGTGTGTGTGTGAGAGAGAGAGAGAGAGAGAGAGGAGAGAGAGAGAGAGATGATCGGTGTGTTCGGCGATGTGTGTGTGTGTGAGTGTGAGAAAGAGAGAGAGAGAGATGATCGGTGTGTTCGGCGAAGGTGTGGCTTTCCATGGGTCGATGTACCCATCGCTAGTGCTTAGGGCCCCTGTCCTTAGGTTCCGAGCCCGATGTGGTACAATCTCGACATGGCCTTGTGTGTGAACCAAGGTTTTTCCTCTTCTTCTTCTTCTCCTCCTTCTCCTCTTCTTCGGAGCCCAATGGGGTACACTCTCGACAGACTTGTGCTTGCGGAAAGTACGGACGGCGTGAGATCCCGTGCTCGTCCTCATAGAAAGCAGTCGGTCACTGTTTGTCACTATTCTCTTCGTGTTTTTTTTTTTTTTTTTTTTTTTTTTTAAATAGCTAAAACCAGGGTTTGTTTGGAAAAAAAAAGGGTTTGATGCAGTTTGTTTGTCACTATCCGTGTTGTGCTCTGTAAGATCTACGTTCGACTTATGGCGGCGACCTGGGCCCTCGCTCCACTACTCAGCATTCTACATGCATTTGGACGTTTTTTGGACCAGATGCAATCGGACGAGTCCAAATTTGAATTGTATCGGGACGATAATGAGCTCCTGATACATGTAGAGTGTTGTGTAGTGGAGCGAGTCCCCTGGTCTGAGCCACGGTTCCTCCTCTTCCTTTTTCTCGTAGTCACCGTCCTCCTACTTATATCTGCGCTTCTTCCTCCTCCTCCTCCTCCTCCTCCTCTCCTCCTCCTTTCCTCTTTTTCTTCTTCTTCTTCTTTTCCTTCTTCTTGTCTCATTCCTGATGACAAGAGGGATATGGTTGGAATCTTCCTATCCCTCTCTTACTCGTCCTCCTCTTCCTCCTCCTCCCATGTCTTCTTCCTCCTCCTCCCATGTCTTCCTCCTCCTCCTCCCATGTGTTCTCCCTCCTCCTCCCATGTGTTCTCCCTCCTCCTCCCATGTGTTCTCCCTCCTCCTTCCATGTCTTTTTCCGCCCCCATTTCTTTCTTCCAACTGCGTTTCTTCCTCCTCCATGCCGCCGCGTTTTTTTTTTTTTGTTTTTTTTTTGCCTTCTTTCGATGTTTTGCAATAAGACGACGACCGAAAAAATGCCGCCGCCGCTTTCGCTTTTTTCTCCATGTACGTCTTTGTGAATCATAGCGTCCTCCGTGGCGATAACGGTTCTTTCCCTTTTTTCTATTGTTCTTCCCCTTAATTTTTTATTCCCCCCCCCCGGCCGAAAAACTTCTGCCAGGCAGGCATTTGCAGATATGCTCGATCGGCCGTCGTCCTTTCGTGTTCCACCTTTTTTTTAAATCCTAATTTTTATTTTTAAATCCTTTCTCCCTCTCGGCCACATCAAATAGAATTTTGGCTGTCTCGACCTAAGAATGAAGGACAGGTGAAAAAAAAAAGGACAGGTGAAAAAAAAAAGAGGACAGGTGATTCCCGCCGCCCAAACCCGTCTTTGCCCGAACCTTACCGCCCCTGGCCTCTTTTCCTACCCCCGCCCCGGGCCCNNNNCCCCCTCCTCCTCCTCCCCCTCCCCTCTTCTTCTTCTTCCCCCGCGTTCTCCTCCTCCTCCTCCTTCTTTCCTGCCTCTCCCCCTGTTCTTCTCCCCCTCCTCCATCCCCAACTCCTCCCGTTCCTCACGCCTATCCTCCTCCTCTCTGTGGCAGCAGTGAGACTGTGGTAATGGTGAAGAAGGTATCTGCCGGTTGTCTTATTGTCCTTGTTATTGCCATCCCTATCTATCCGGACAGGTCTGTGTTTGGATGTGTTTGTCTCCACCTGTGCGTGGAACGAAGACAGATGGAGACAGGTAAAGGGAGAGATGGGGATATATTACGTCTTCATGCATGTGTGCGTGTGGCTTGTGTTTGTTGTTGTTGTTGTTGTGTGTGTGTGTGTGTGTGTGTGTGTGTGTGTGTGTGTGTGTGTGTGTGTGTGTTGTGTGTGTGTGTGTTAGAGAGAGAGAGAGAGGGGGGGGGGGGGGGGGGGGGGGGGGGGGGGGGGAAGTGGGGAAGGAACAGTATTTTTTCCGGTTGCCGCCCTAAATAGTTTTAGGTTTTTTTTTTTTTTTTTTTTTTTTTTTTTTTTTTTTTTTTTTTTTTTTCTTTTTTTTTTTTTTCCTCTTTTTTTTTTTTGTTCCTACCGTCATCCTCTGTCGTACACAGCACCCTCGGCATGAATGTATCCCACCGGAGTTCTAGCTTGTGTGCGTTCACGATTCTGACTGTATCAGACCGGAGTTCTAGCTTGTGTACGTTCACAACTACACTGTGTTGTGTTGGGGGGAAAGCAGTAGTATCAAGTAATTCTCAGTTGGTCCACCACAATACCTTCCAAAGTCAATCAAGAAAACGCATCAGGGCACTCGCTTTGCGTGCAATAATTGATTAGGTGATGAAGGTCTCCTCCTCCTCCCCCTTCTTCTCCTCTTCTTCCTCTCCCCTCTTCTCATCCTCTTTCTCTCCCCTCTTCTCCTCCTCTTTCTCTCCCCTCTTCTCCTCCTCTTTCTCCCCCCCTCTCCTCCTTCCCCCC